CAGCACCTCGACTAGGCAGTCGATCCCAGTCCATTGGCAGCACTGATACCAGCATTCACGGTCCTTCGGAGGTTGCTCTTGCTCATGGAAGTGGCCTTGGAAAAGACCATGAGTCTCCTTTGAAGAAAAGTCCTTCTGCTGACAGCCTATTGACGGGCTTTTTCAAGCCCATGGATGTTTACTGCCACAGATTTGTGCAAGATGCACAAAACAAAATGACCCATCTATCAGAAACCATGTCTGTTTCTCAGCAGGCTAGTGAGGAAGGAAATCAAATGACCAATCAAGTTTCTAATGAAGAAAGCCAATCTGAGTCAACAGAACAGGTACCTTCTCGGCCGTCTCAGTTAGATGTGTCTTTTTCTGCAACAGGCCCACAGTTTTTGTCTGTTGAACCGGTGCATTCAGTCTTATCTCAAAAGACCCCCAGCTCCACACCCAGCATGCATGAATCGGAGACTGGGCTTCGTGTAACTCCTTCTCCTTCAGAGAGCGCCAGCAGCAGGGCCGCCTCTCCCTTTGCAAAGATTCGAAGTTCCATGGTCCAAGTTGCCAGTATTACCCAAGCTGGGTTAACACAGGGGATAAACTTTGCAGTGGCAAAGGTTCAGAAGAGCCCTGCTGAACCTGAAGTGGTTAATGAAGTCCAGCACAATGAACTTAAAAATATGTTTACACAATGCCAGACACGAATAATTCAGATTTAGGTTTTAGCCACAAAGAATCCTCCTGTGGCTTTTATTTAATCCAAAAAAAAGGTTTCATGTATTGGGCTATTTTAACCTGTACTGTCTTTGAACCTAGGGATCACAAATCCTGTTCATTGGGGAAAGGTTTTAGAGGGAGTCTGAACTTAATCAGATTTCTAGAATTGGGAACGAGGTAACAGAAGTGCTTCATCCTAGAATGTGTGAACCTAAGTAGCTTATACACTACGGAGCAATTTGTTTCTTTGAAAGTAATAGAAATAGATGACTTTGGTTTATAATAACCTGAACCTTTTTTGGAGCGGGGTGGGTGGGTGGAGTGTGTGAAATTTGATGCATAACAGATGGACATGTGTACATTTAGGGGATTAGCATTTTTCATAATTTTTGTTCTACTTGTCAGTTTGTTTCTGGGTATAACCCTCTACAAGGTAAATACATTTAGTTTTTAGTGACTTCCAAGTGTTACTAGTACAGAGAAGCATCTGAGTATAAAAACTTGGTTTAGTTTTGTTGTCTTAATCATTCCCTATGAAGAGTTAAGAGGGTTATTGGCACTACATTCAAGAAAGTATGCCTATTTGATCCTAAATTCCCCTATATTGTTTACACAGTTCTAAAATGTCCTGTCACCTTGTATATCCCAAAGTCTAGGACCATTAAGACTTCTTAGTCATAAAACCTGAGGTATTAGATGTGAATACCAGCACATATTTAATTTTGCTCTTTTCAGGAATGTACACTTATTAGAATACTAGTAAATCTTTAAAGATGTCTTCAGGCTGTTAATTTTTTACAGGGGGCATTCCTTAACGTCTTATATAGACTGTCATACAACTACTGAAAATACAGTCTGATGCACATTTGTGCTAAAACTGATTTTATTACTGTAACCCTGACCACTGACCAAGGCCTCTCCTATAATCCATAGAAGAAGAAAAATTTGCACACTTTATTCCAAGTAAGTATTTGGTTTGTCTGGTATCTTTAGAGCCTTACTCTGTTGAAGTAATTCTCAGCCAAACATTATGTCTCTTGTAAATTTGATAAGTATTTCCACTTTTGTTATTTATTAGTGGTATCTTTTTTTTTTTGAGGTGTCTAATCTTGTGACTATTTAAAATAAAGTAATTATAATTTAAAGTGACAGTGTGTATGAGAATTTCTTGAATATCATTTTAAGATAAGGGTTTGACTTTTAAATCAAAGAATTCATAAGCAAGTTTGTTACAATTGAACACTTGGTCCCAGTCTAATACTTTTGAAGTTAAGTTAAAAGTGTTAAAATGTATCACAAACTATTAAATTTTAAAACCCAAGCGTTGAAACTGAATGCTTTACTCTGATCTTTACCAGCTTTTCTTCTGAGTCCTGAAAATATCAAGGGAAATAAGAGAATATAAACCAAGATCATGTGATAAAATGTTTTTAAGCTCCATAGTAATTAATTCCAAAGAGGTTCTTGAAAACTGAAATAAATGTGATGTTTAATTCCAATCAGGGTAATGACACATCTGTTCAGTTTCCTGGTTATTCAAACAGGATTAACATCACATTACATCAACAAATGTAATGTCTGAGTATGTAGGCAGGAGGGATAAAGGGTTTCTGAAGCCCAGAATTCCTCTCCTACCTGAGTAGGGTTTTCAGGAGGAGGACGCTGCAGTACCACCTCCCATACGTAAGTTTACCTATTATTGGTTTTCCATCAAGAGGACACAGGATCTTTTTCCACACAGATTACATGGGGTGAGTCTTTAATTCATGAAAAACAGCCCAAAGAACTAGTAATTTGGAAGTTTTATTTATTCGAAAGAGGGTTTTATTTTCAAGGGAACTTTTCTGCAAGCCCAAACAAATTATGTAATTCTTTGGCAAATTACAGTTCACATTGGCACAATAAACACATGGTAACAACTATCTACTCTGATGAATTTTATTCTCACAAACTCAGTTGAGCCTTTATTTCTGAAAGTTTAAGGAATATCTGGTCTAACAGTTGTAAAAATGAAAACCAGTTAGAATTCTAAATATAAACATATTTACATTAGTTTATAAAAATAGATTTGCATTTAGGAAAAGTTAAACTAGTTTTTACTTCATTAGGCATAATAAATTCCTCAAATTTTAAAGCTGACCCTGTTTCCTTGGTTATCAATGTCAATTTAGGCCTGGGGTCAGGGGGTGATTTATGGATAATTTAACTGATTTCTATTGTTTCCAAATAGGTAAGTTACTAAAGAAATTTATATATAACCGTGATAGCTTAAAGAAGTAATGTTCTAACCTCTCCAAAGATTCCTGATGCCACAGTTATACTACTGTACTTTCATTAGTTTGATTTAGGAAATAAGAGAATATAAACCAAGATCATGTGATAAAATGTTTTTAAGCTCCATAGTAATTAATTCCAAAGAGGTTCTTGAAAACTGAAATAAATGTGATGTTTAATTCCAATCAGGGTAATGACACATCTGTTCAGTTTCCTGGTTATTCAAACAGGATTAACATCACATTACATCAACAAATGTAATGTCTGAGTATGTAGGCAGGAGGGATAAAGGGTTTCTGAAGCCCAGAATTCCTCTCCTACCTGAGTAGGGTTTTCAGGAGGAGGACGCTGCAGTACCACCTCCCATACGTAAGTTTACCTATTATTGGTTTTCCATCAAGAGGACACAGGATCTTTTTCCACACAGATTACATGGGGTGAGTCTTTAATTCATGAAAAACAGCCCAAAGAACTAGTAATTTGGAAGTTTTATTTATTCGAAAGAGGGTTTTATTTTCAAGGGAACTTTTCTGCAAGCCCAAACAAATTATGTAATTCTTTGGCAAATTACAGTTCACATTGGCACAATAAACACATGGTAACAACTATCTACTCTGATGAATTTTATTCTCACAAACTCAGTTGAGCCTTTATTTCTGAAAGTTTAAGGAATATCTGGTCTAACAGTTGTAAAAATGAAAACCAGTTAGAATTCTAAATATAAACATATTTACATTAGTTTATAAAAATAGATTTGCATTTAGGAAAAGTTAAACTAGTTTTTACTTCATTAGGCATAATAAATTCCTCAAATTTTAAAGCTGACCCTGTTTCCTTGGTTATCAATGTCAATTTAGGCCTGGGGTCAGGGGGTGATTTATGGATAATTTAACTGATTTCTATTGTTTCCAAATAGGTAAGTTACTAAAGAAATTTATATATAACCGTGATAGCTTAAAGAAGTAATGTTCTAACCTCTCCAAAGATTCCTGATGCCACAGTTATACTACTGTACTTTCATTAGTTTGATTTTTAGCTATGGGTAACAGTATTTTTGCTCCTTTAAAAACTTCTGTTAAAATTGTCAATGGTCTGGGGAAAAACCTTTACTTACAATTTTATGGGCATTCCTGGGCTAGCAGACAATGTTAGTTGATCCTGACATATCTGGAACTAATTGATAAATAGTTCAAAATACAACCATCAAAGCAAGTAAATGACATTTATTAGGAAAAGAAAACTTTTTTTCCTAAATAAGGCATTTAAAAAAAATTAACTATTTTGCTCTCTTATGTGGGCAAAACAACTCCACAGGGCAGCATTCCCTTAAGTGAGTCCCATAAAACAGTGGTTCCCAAATGCACTGGGAAAAATGAGAAAAGGACAATGAGTGTTCTTTCCAAAAGCTACATTTATTCCATTTAAAGGACTACCCTTGTTCTGAGATTGTCCTTTTATGGAAAAAAAAAAAAAGTGATAACATTTCTTTCTTTCAGATTACTTGGCAAAATAAATTGGCAGCCCTGTCCCAAAATTTTTTGGAAATTTTACTGGTCTGTGAAATTCAAAAGTTTGGGAACCACTGACTAGTTTTGCAGATTGTTAACAACTGTTAAATGGGGAAAAGCTTCTGTGGTCACATTTGGGAAATAATACAGAATCTCACATGGTCATGTGAATTAGTGGCAAGTATACCCCATTCCCCAAACCTGAACCACTGAATATTCAGATCTACTATTAATTGTAAAGACTCAAAAATCTGAAGTGAACAACTCTTAGTTCAGAATTTCAACAATTTTCTTCAAATGAAGTTGATATTAGCATTTCAACAGAGTCTGGCCTATGACTTAATTGAAGCTAAGGAAATGGTATAATCAGCAACATTATCAATATTAAACCTTTAATATCAAATACATTTTTGTACATTGTTACTAATTTATATTACTATAAAACAAACTTCAAAAGCTCCATAAAATCAGTAAGGTAAAAGCCCTTACTGAATATTATATAAACTTCAGATGTTACCAGGATGGATTTCAGGAAAAGTCATTGGTGTTTGATACAAATTATCTACAAAACAATGTGGTATAAATGATATTTGAATTTTACAGTAATGTGGCTACAATCTGTCCATCTTTCACAGGAATCAGCTCTTTAAAGTTCATTTCCATTCATACATTTCTGCTGCTGAAGCCTGGTTCTTCTTAAAGACTCCAGCTGTTTTGCTCTTATCCACCGTTCTCTTGACAGCGTTGTCTGACCAGCACTCAGAGACAGAAACCTGGTTTGAAATACAGAAACAAAGTCAAGTCTACACCTAAGATGATCTCTTTTCTCTCTTTTTTAAGACCTAGGAATTCTGGGAGACAGGACCGTCTGGTAGCTACACACAAGTGAAGTGCCAAGTTAAGAGTTCTACAAAGGACTCTTTTATTGAGAGTCAAGTCCTGGAGGATGACTTACTCTTTGAAGCTTAGAGAAGCACTGGTATGGCTGCTCCGTGGAAGTGATCCCCCCGCCAAATACAATTCCCCCCAAGTGAGCTATTTCACAAGGCATTTTATTTAAAAGGAAAGAGTTCCTTTCCAGTTGTAGAAGTCTGCCTCAGTTACTCCTAAATAGATTAGAAGGTTCATAAATAAAGTCTGGCCTATGACTTAATTGAAGCTAAGGAAATGGTATAATCAGCAACATTATCAATATTAAACCTTTAATATCAAATACATTTTTGTACATTGTTACTAATTTATATTACTATAAAACAAACTTCAAAAGCTCCATAAAATCAGTAAGGTAAAAGCCCTTACTGAATATTATATAAACTTCAGATGTTACCAGGATGGATTTCAGGAAAAGTCATTGGTGTTTGATACAAATTATCTACAAAACAATGTGGTATAAATGATATTTGAATTTTACAGTAATGTGGCTACAATCTGTCCATCTTTCACAGGAATCAGCTCTTTAAAGTTCATTTCCATTCATACATTTCTGCTGCTGAAGCCTGGTTCTTCTTAAAGACTCCAGCTGTTTTGCTCTTATCCACCGTTCTCTTGACAGCGTTGTCTGACCAGCACTCAGAGACAGAAACCTGGTTTGAAATACAGAAACAAAGTCAAGTCTACACCTAAGATGATCTCTTTTCTCTCTTTTTTAAGACCTAGGAATTCTGGGAGACAGGACCGTCTGGTAGCTACACACAAGTGAAGTGCCAAGTTAAGAGTTCTACAAAGGACTCTTTTATTGAGAGTCAAGTCTGGAGGATGACTTACTCTTTGAAGCTTAGAGAAGCACTGGTATGGCTGCTCCGTGGAAGTGATCCCCCCGCCAAATACAATTCCCCCCAAGTGAGCTATTTCACAAGGCATTTTATTTAAAAGGAAAGAGTTCCTTTCCAGTTGTAGAAGTCTGCCTCAGTTACTCCTAAATAGATTAGAAGGTTCATAAATAACTGGCTGAAGAAGCAGGCTTGGACGCATACCACTCACCGAGCTACCACGAGCAGCTGGTGAAGATCGTCAGCAGTGATGCTCTGGGGATCGTTCTTGCGCATCTCCACAAAGTCATCTTCAACTGCCTTTATCAAAAGAGCAAATGGACTTTAAAACTGTTCCTGATGAGCAGACACTTAATATTTTGTAGGGAAAAGAAACTAACATGGTTCCTTGACTGATGGAAAAAATGAAGTCAGCCTTGCCTCTTAGACAAATGAGACAATGTGGGTTAAGGGACTGAGAGCCACACTTCACACAGATCAGTAATACTACTGATGAAAGTATTCTAAACGAAATAACAAAACTCAGATTTGTTTCAGAGGGCCAGGAAAATAGGTAAGTCAGCAACTTGTATAGCAAAAATGATGCCTTAAACAGGGAAGAGTGACATCAAAAACGGCAGAGTAAGGACCTCTGAAAATTCTCTTCTCCATTGTAGGGAATGAGAACACAAGCAAAAATGATCAAAATCAGCTTCTTCAAAAGTCAAGAAATTAACCGGACAGTTGTAGCAATCCCAGGAGCATGTATTCAAGACAGTAAGAACTTTGAGCTTTGAGGCATTTTAAAACATGCCCTATTCCACCACTCCTCCAAGCAACTCTGAAAACAGCCTGGCAAACACTGGAGAGGGTACTGGCTAGAGCTCTTTCTAAGCACCATTCCCAGAGAACTGTCAACATTTGATTGATTGGTGTGGAAGAATCTGCGAGGTTGTCTTTTATTTTACCTGACTGGGAGCCTGTCCAGAGCTCCAGTGTAAACAGCCTCTTCCCCTAGAACATTTATCAAAAGTAATCAGAAGCAATTATTGATCATCTTGGCTGCCTCAGGCATTAAATGAAAAGAAAAACTAGGGAATGAAATGTCTATAGGAGGCTTTGAAAGCCACACACACACACACACACACACACACACTCTCTCTCTCTCTCTCTCTCTCTCCCCCCCCCCCCACGGGCCTGTGTGTATGCTCTGAGGATCTAAGAAAGACTTAAGGTCTCTCCTTTGAATAACCCTGAGGCTCTGTGCAAAATTAAAGTGAAAGCTACAGCATAGTTATAAACTGCATGGCTGAGTTTCAAAGGCTTGCCCCAACATGGTAACAGGGCCTTTTGGCTTAGATTGGGAGACTTAACTGCTTCCAGACATCTATGGAAATTAAATTTCTATGTAATTACTGATTGGCCACTAAGCTAACAGACACTTCAGTCCCTGCATACTCCAAAGAATAGAATACAGAATTCATAAAAGTCACCAAACAAGCAACAAGAGCAAACAGCAGTAACACACCTTAGGAAGTGGGGAGAATTGGCCAGAGCAGAGTTGCCACATCATATTACTTAACAGGTCTGGCTTTCAACACAAAAATTAGGACACATACAAAGCAACAAGAACATACGGCCCCCTTCACTGGGAAAACAGTTAATAGGAGCCATCCTTGAGGAAACCCAAATACTGGACTTACTAGACAACAACTTTAAATCAGTTTTTCTATATACATTCAAATAACTAAATGACACCACATATAAAGAACTAAAAGAAAGTATGAGAATGATGTCTCATCAAATAGAAAATATCAATAGAGGCAGAAATTATTTAAAAAACATATTTCTAAATGAAATAAACTCACTAGAAAAGCTCAAGAGCATATTTGAGCACAAAGAGGAAAGATTCTGCAAAACGGAAGATGGGTGGGCTGATCTTACTCAGCCTCTGGAACAGAAAGCAAAAAGACTGAGGAAACCTGAACAGAGACCCTAAAACGTGAGCCACCATCAGATGCACCAACATCCATACATGGGAGTGACCAAGGGAAGGGAGAAATGAACAGAAAGAAACTAAAGAAATAATGGCCAAAAACTTGCAAAGTATTTCCTGAAACCTTACCCCAGGTGTGCAATAATCTCTATATCCAAGAATTTCAACAAAGTCCAAGTGAGATGAGCTTAAGAGATCCACACCTAGATACACCACAGTTAAACTGTCAAAAGCTAAAGAATCTTGAAACAAAACAAAAATGCCTCCTTGTGTACAAAGAATCCTCTCACCAGAAACTAGCTGACTTCTCATCAAAAGAGGTTAGAAGGTAGTTGTAGGACATACTGAAAGTGCTGAAAGAAAAAGCTTATAAACCAAGAATTCCACACCCAGCAAAACTAGTCTTCATAAATGAAGGAGAAATTAAGACATTGCCAGATAGGAAACACTTTAAAGAGACCTGCCCTGCAAGAAATACCAAAGACAGTCCTTCAGGCTGAAATGAAAGGGGGACATGGTAAATGGAATCCATGTAAAGATCACTGGTAACAGTAACAACAGAGGGGAATGTGAAAAGCAGCATAATGTTTTTTTCTTTGTGCTTTTAAAGACAAACAGCATAAAGTAACCATTATAAATGTACTTATGGACACATACCAAGATACAGTCTGTATTATGATAAAGCACAAAGTGGGGGAGAAGGAATAGAATGATAAAGCAGAAACTTTTCTGTGTATGTTGTGATGACATTAGAATTAATTCTAAATAAACTGTTGTAGTTTTTTAAGACGTGAACAGTAGTCCCAAGGACAAATACCAAAAACGAAAAGACATGGAAATTAAAACTGTACACTAGAAATATCTATTTCACACAAAAGAAGACAATAATGGAGGAACAGAGGAACAAAAAAAGACCTAAGATACATAGAAAACAAAGAGCAAAATTACTTTATCAGTAATTACAGTAAATGTAAATTGATCAAACACTCAAAGCAGGGAAATCCTTTAATTATATCCCCAATTACCTTGGTTATTTCATCAGATATGCTATAATCCAGGAACCTCAAAAGGGTCAGATAGATGCGGAATTTATTCAGCACGGAAGGCAGCACTGCCGAGAGCAGGCTGTTCATGTGCTCCTCCATGTTTGGTGGGATGAGCTGTGGCTGTAAGTGGATCTGGCAGTCTGCCTAAAAAGAGAGACAGCACACGGTATTTTCCAAATTCTTCAGTTAATCTAAATGTCAGGAGGATGTATGACCTCTATCAGCCCCTGAGGGAATTAGAAAACACTACTTATTATTGAGGAGAGATTGCTATTTAACATTAATTTACATGCAATCTAACTCCAGCAGTAATTACAAAAGTTAGCCTTTTCTTGATTACTTATGTTTCCTCAACAGTATCAGTAAACATATAAAAAGGAGCTCTGAAAAGCAGCTAACTGCAACGTTTTAGATATTTAATCATGGCGTATGTACTCCACCTTACTGAACTGCAATTCTAGAAACCACATAAAGCAAACCACTTTCCCACAGAAAACTTACAAACGGCCGTTTCACTCTCATTCACAGGCAGTTTCTCATAAATGACAAGTGAACACTATTATACAGAGAAACTATGTATCTTTTAAACAAATGGGCATAGTTCCCATCATTAAAAGGCTCAGAATTAAAAGCTCTCTTCATCCGTCACTCTGATGATTTACCAGAGCAGTTCACAAAAAGCATAAAAATAATTACCAAGTTATCAGGAATATTTTAAAAGGAACTCTAAAGTATTTCTTACATAAGATTGGCAGAAAACGGTGGGATAGAGGCAGCAAGAACAAAGGACTGGATGTTAATCAGGCAATTTATAGACAGTTTCTACTTTCAATGCCTGCATGTGGGAGTTTTGCTGCCAACAGCTTTCTCTGCTTGTCTTGTGATCTGCTGATAGCTGGTTCTTCAAAGATACAAGGTTGTCATCCAAAGGCTAGAGCAAAATAATCCCTTATTAATAACCAGCAGCCACAATTTTGGAACAAGCTTAACTTATTAATAAGCAGTACCAAGAAACAAAACAAAAACACAGGTATCTTTGCAATGTCATCTCCATAAAATGACTCATACCGGCAGAAGTGATCTCCCCTCGGAAGTAATAAAAACATTAATGTTGCACGGGAATTCCATTTGGTGGTAACTGAAGTCATAATCCACCTTCTGCCAAGTTATTAGGTTGCTCAGGGCAGTCACATTATGAACACCTGGAAAAGCAAGGAAAAGTTATTTAATTTTAATCACCTAAACAAATTAGTTTTGTTGACATTAATTGTAAGACATCAAGTTTCTACTGCTTTAAAAGAGTATAGGAGCTGCCGTCCAATTTACTAAGCTAAGTGTTCATTAGGCAACAGACTTTATAGATATTGTTCCCATGTATGATTACTTTCCAGGCGGTATGTTCATCACAGGGCTAAAATAATATGGCAGAACCAGAACTATTTTTATACAAAGATAAAATTGTTGAGTTTATTGATTTCATGCTCAGCTTTACCTTAAATGTACCCAGTCTACCCTGGTTTTCATTTGACCTTTACCTCTTAAATATATGACCAGCAAAGTGTCTTAATTCTCATGTGAGCACAGATAAAGCAATCTGCTTTCTTGTAATTTTATAACATATCCCATAGCTGAGGTTAGTTCAAACCACCCAATATACTAAATATTTTTTTCAGAGATTCTTTGAAAAACTGCACTGGCAGTAAGAAATATTTCATTAGGTCTTTTCTATACTTTTCTTTTGAGGTAATACATGACTAAAGGCAAAATCTCCTCCCTTTTCAGCCTTTTGAAAACTACTTGCTATTTCCTTATTCTACTGTACTATTTTCACAACACAACAAAACATAGCTGGTTTACACACTGACCAGTTTATATATATGCTTTAACCAAATTCACAGGGCAGGCCTATGAAATGCGAAGTCTTTACAGAGCCGTGCCCAGCTCTGGCTGTAATGGGAGGTCAGAACCGACAGCAGCACCCACACGTACCCGGCGCGTCCAGCTGCCCCTGCTCCAGGAGAGTCTCATCGATTATCAGAGAGGTGTTGCTGGGGAGCTGCAGGAGCCCACTGACCAGGCGATTGGCTGTATAGTCTTTGTGGGGAATGAATTTCAGATGGTTCATGTTCTCTATAGTCATCTGTAGACGAAAAGACTGCAAAGAGAAATTTTTTAATGAGCAAGGAACTAAGTGTCCCTGTTTTAAGAAAATACGTATTTGGGGTAAACACTGTGTTTTATACAGACAGAAAAACCTCAATTTCTAAGGAAGTGTTGTCACAGTTTCTTAAGCTCTTAGAAACAAAATACTATCTACATTCTAAATAAGAATTTCACTGATTCTATGAGCTGCTGCATTCTTGCTGTCTTGTTTGGTATTCTTGAAGAATAATTTTTACTTTACCAGTGAACCTGAAACAAATGATAGACAAGTGAGACACATATGCCTCAAATATCCAGAAGCTTAACTTCTTTCTCCTACCACAGGCTAAGAAAATAGAAAATGAAATGTTTATTAATCAGGATGGGGAGGGAAAAGCATAATTTTCCTCCATGCTTCCTGAATTAACAGTAGCATTTCCTCATCACAGACTACAGCAGACTTCTGGACAACCTGCTCTGAGAACCTTGGGGCAGAGCACGCTGAGCTGCGGCTGGGCGCTGCACGGGTGGCAGCTTGCTGCACCCTGCCTGTGTGCCACCTCCTCACCCGGGCCTCACAGAGTGAAGGACCTGTTACCCACCCACACCTCCTCCCGTGCCTGAGCCCACTTCTCAACACCCTCGGCACCCTGCGTCCTCTTCTACCTTTCCAGCCTGAAGGGACCTATGTGTGATGGAGGCAGAGACGGGGGTTGGGGAGAAGGGTGTTGTGGAAGAGTTAAGATAAATTATCCAAATTTGGAGGATTTTTTACTTTGGCTCAGTAATTTGAAGAAAATGGGGTGCGGGAGGGAACTGTATTACAGATACAAGCAAATGACTGTAAAGTAGCAGAGCCCGATGAAACAGGGTGACGTAGAGCGGAGCCTAGTGCCGTACAAGCATGAGCAGGTCACTAATGATATGTTGTGAAAACTAAAAGGTGTTAAGGAAGACAAGTGTGTAGAAATTTCTGAAACTCAGTGTCAGCTACACATAAACAAGTAATACGGGGAGTGGGCCACAGTAACAGTGAAAGTGTAAATAAGGCCACTACAAATTTGATGTAGGATAAAAAGAACAAAAAAAGAAACCCCTGTCTGTGCTATAACTTTGAACACCCTTCTCGGGCAACTTTCCCACTTAATGTACCTCCTGTCCCAAGTCCGGGCTACCTAACCCTCAGCCTCCCCGCTGGGAGCAGCCCTAGGCTCTCCTCACACCGCACCTCCGACCCTTCGGCCCAGGGCTCATCCCACCCAGCCTCTCGGCTGGCATTCCCCAGTGGTGCCCCCACCGCTCCCTCAGGGGTGCTGCAAGGGAGGGACGCATCCTGCACAGCCACCTGGCCTCCTCCACCCGCTTCAGGCCTCCCCCTGAACACCCTGTGGGTGCGGCCTTCCCCGACCACTGTACGCAGCAGCTCCTCGCTGGCCCCCCGCTCAGCACTCTCCCTCCTCCAGGGCCCCTGCTCCATGGCACTGCAGCGACATACTGCGTATTTATTTATTACTTGGTCTTCCACAGTAATTCAAAATAAAATCTGACTATTTCAGTGTTTCTCAAAACGTGGTCCAGGGGACTCCCAGGGTTGCCGAGTCCCTTTTGTGGGACCCATGAGGTCAAAATCATGCACCGATAAAGCCATTCCAGATGCAAGGTGGAGCAGTGCGTTCACTACAGCAGAGTATGACAAGATTGCTGAGGTCACACATGCAACTACCTTTAAGGACAGTTTTGGTCTAGTCTCAAAGAATGTCTAGTTATCTGAAATGGCTATTAAAACAGTCCTTCCTTTGCCAACTGCTCTTCTGCCCCTGTAAAGGCAGCTTTCATTCACATCCGTCAATCAAAACATAATAAACTGAATAAAGAAATAGGCAGGACAATACTCACAGAGTGAAGGACCTGTTACCCACCCACACCTCCTCCCGTGCCTGAGCCCACTTCTCAACACCCTCGGCACCCTGCGTCCTCTTCTACCTTTCCAGCCTGAAGGGACCTATGTGTGATGGAGGCAGAGACGGGGGTTGGGGAGAAGGGTGTTGTGGAAGAGTTAAGATAAATTATCCAAATTTGGAGGATTTTTTACTTTGGCTCAGTAATTTGAAGAAAATGGGGTGCGGGAGGGAACTGTATTACAGATACAAGCAAATGACTGTAAAGTAGCAGAGCCCGATGAAACAGGGTGACGTAGAGCGGAGCCTAGTGCCGTACAAGCATGAGCAGGTCACTAATGATATGTTGTGAAAACTAAAAGGTGTTAAGGAAGACAAGTGTGTAGAAATTTCTGAAACTCAGTGTCAGCTACACATAAACAAGTAATACGGGGAGTGGGCCACAGTAACAGTGAAAGTGTAAATAAGGCCACTACAAATTTGATGTAGGATAAAAAGAACAAAAAAAGAAACCCCTGTCTGTGCTATAACTTTGAACACCCTTCTCGGGCAACTTTCCCACTTAATGTACCTCCTGTCCCAAGTCCGGGCTACCTAACCCTCAGCCTCCCCGCTGGGAGCAGCCCTAGGCTCTCCTCACACCGCACCTCCGACCCTTCGGCCCAGGGCTCATCCCACCCAGCCTCTCGGCTGGCATTCCCCAGTGGTGCCCCCACCGCTCCCTCAGGGGTGCTGCAAGGGAGGGACGCATCCTGCACAGCCACCTGGCCTCCTCCACCCGCTTCAGGCCTCCCCCTGAACACCCTGTGGGTGCGGCCTTCCCCGACCACTGTACGCAGCAGCTCCTCGCTGGCCCCCCGCTCAGCACTCTCCCTCCTCCGGGGCCCCTGCTCCATGGCACTGCAGCGACATACTGCGTATTTATTTATTACTTGGTCTTCCACAGTAATTCAAAATAAAATCTGACTATTTCAGTGTTTCTCAAAACGTGGTCCAGGGGACTCCCAGGGTTGCCGAGTCCCTTTTGTGGGACCCATGAGGTCAAAATCATGCACCGATAAAGCCATTCCAGATGCAAGGTGGAGCAGTGCGTTCACTACAGCAGAGTATGACAAGATTGCTGAGGTCACACATGCAACTACCTTTAAGGACAGTTTTGGTCTAGTCTCAAAGAATGTCTAGTTATCTGAAATGGCTATTAAAACAGTCCTTCCTTTGCCAACTGCTCTTCTGCCCCTGTAAAGGCAGCTTTCATTCACATCCGTCAATCAAAACATAATAAACTGAATAAAGAAATAGGCAGGACAATCCAGCTCTCCTGTATTAATCAGGACATTAAAGAGACTGGCAAAAATGTAAAACAGTGTCACTCATATCACTAAATTTTTTGTTTGAAAAACAAGTTATTTTTACTAAAATATTTTATGTTCATATGTAATTTTTTATTTTTAATGAATATTTTAATGTTTTAATTTCTAATATGGTATATTAATGATAATAACCACCCACATAAACTGAGTCCTTAGTAATTTTTTAAGAGTGTAAAAAGTGAGTCACGGTGTGTGAGAAATGCTGGCCTCTTTGGTCCACTGCTGTGTCTACAGGGCCGAGGAGGGTGCTTATAGACACTCGGTAAACATTGGCTAAATGAATGACCTGCTTCAACCTCTTAAATTCCGCAAGTAAGAAGGAACCAGCATTCCTGGCCACGTGATTAGTCAGAAGCAATGCCCCCATTCCTAAGATCTGACTATGACACGAACACTGCATTCCAGATGCCCTGGCAAAAAAAAAAAAAATCAACTTTCCCAAACTGGAATTAAAATTGGGGCAGCAGTGATAAAGATCTTTATTACCTCAGCTAAAAGTATTATGCTCCTATGATTTAAGTTTTCTAGATTTACGATTTTAATGCACATACAGAATACCAAATTTCAGAAAAGAAATTGGTATCAACCAAGTGTAAAATTTTAAGGGAATTCCTGCCATCATGTTAATTGTTAGACTTACAGAAATTTGTGCTAAGGCAATAAAAGAAAAGTAAAAAGGTTTGCAGCAACTACACTTTAAATAATGAAGCTTGACAGACCTTGTTTCCCCTTAACAAGATCTACTAAAATCAAAGTTAAATATCTGGGGTCCATGAAAGACACCTGGATGGATTTTCAAGGGTGCTTAGGTTTATAATACATATATATCTATGTTGATCTTACTGCTGGAACAAGATGTTGAATAATCCGATATAAGTGCTCTGTGAAGGTACTGTTCCGTGGGCAACCACTCAAGTTAACTGTAAATTTTCCTAGTGGAAGAACATCTCTTCTTGTATATCTAGAAAAAAAAGATATCAACCAATAAGATACTCAGGTGATTTCCATCAAAAAAGCAAAGAAAAATTAGCATTATGTTGTCATTAAAAATGAAGCTTTGATCAGTCATTCTTTCAGAGTAACAGCAATAAAAATATTTTAGCCAATAATTATAGACAAGTGCTGATTACGTGCTAGAGACTATTCTGAGCACTTAAATGCTTTCTCATGTAACTCCCCAACACTCTGAGGTAGTTAGCTTTGTTTCACAGGAAAGGAATCAGGGGCACAGAAATTTTAAGTAACATGCCCTGTTCACATAGCCAACAGCTTAGCCATCAAACAGTTGAAGAATTACTAAGGGACAATGTTTAATATACATTAAATGATAAAAGCATGACATGGCTCTGCGTTTAGAGTATAACAGATCAATGTAGGAACGGAAATCTATATAGACAAAGATGGTATGAACATGTACCAAAAAATGTGTTGACGGAGATCATCTTTAAGTGAAAGGATTATAGATAATATCTATTTCCTTCTTATGCTCTCAGAACTTGCCGAAGGCACACGGTATTTTGAAATTAGAAAACAGACCTATGGTGAAATGAGAGGGAGAGGTGCTCTGGTCCACAGACAAGTTAGACATGCACACACCAGGCCTCTCAGAGCCTCAGGGCGCACGCACACCAGGCCTCCCAGAACCTCGGGGCACACACACTGGGCCTCCCAGAGCCTCGGGGTGCACGCACACAGGGTCTCCCAGAGCCTCGGGGCACGCACTCCGGGCCTCCCAGAGCCTTGGGGTGCACGCACACTCTCCCAGAGCCTCGGGGCACACACTCTGGGCCTCCCAGAGCCTCGGGGCGCATGCACACAGGGCCTCCCAGAGCCTCGGGGCACGCACATGGAATTCAGGTCACCAAAGGATAAAGGAGCACATCTTATGCATCAGTCAGGTTCTTTATCTCATTTTGGCTCTTAAATTTAAGGAGATTTAATCAGAATGCTAAATGTGAAACTCAGAAAAAATAAGAAAAGGAATTTGCCTGTGATACGGTGTAACACTTCTTACACCGAACAATAAAAATCCATTTGATGATGCAGCCTAATAAACTGAAACAAATGACTCCAGAAACCCTCCTGCTCTTTGCCACGTTGAACAAAAACACCAAACTCCCTTACTTCCCACCAGAAACACAGCACTTACACTGTAGAGATGAGATGTAATATAAGGTACTCAGCAGCCAAACTGTCCCCCAAAAGGGCATGAGTGAGGAACCCCAGCAGCTCCGCTCGGACTGGAGACAGCTCAGACATGAAACCTGAAACGACTGGAGAGGGAAGGGGACCAGGGTCAGGACACACACACCAGCGCCTCTCGAGCAACCCAGGTGGAAAAATGGCGATGCGGAGCAAAGCCCTATGGGCAGCAGACGACTCGGACAGACTCAACATACCAGTCTCTAAGGGATGCCAACCTTCAAAATAGAACAGCTTGATACTTTTTCTTGGCCTCACTTTAATGAGGAGAATTAACATAAAGGCAAATGGGGCACAGAAACATTGATCACTAGTGAAACCTATTCTGACGAACAGGGACTGACTCCAGCACCCCTGGAGCCCTCACACGCTGGCCACCAGCTCTGCACTTACGCTTGCAGGCCCCGCTCTCCCCCTTGCTCAGGCAGGCAGGCAGTAATGGGTTGATGTGCTGCAGCTTCTGGGCCAGAACCACATGGATTCTTGGCACTAAGGACGCAGGAGGGCTGTGCACCCTCTGTTCCTCAGCTGTGTCTGTGCACTCCATGGGGTCCAGGAGAGAAGAGGTGTCCCTGTAGAGAGATGATAAAGCGTCAGCTCACAGACACAGCAGCTGTACAGGAGTAAAAATAACATGCATCTCTGAAAATAAAATGAGACGTCAAGCCAAGAACAGTCCCACCTGTGCGTCTCCTTAAAGAACAGAAAACGGCTCCTCATTCTAAACTGTTTCAGCACATGGACTTCAGGCTAGTTAGGTCCTATTATGATATAGTTCATTTATTTTGTTCTTCAAGAACAGTAAGATTTTTACTCAGTATGCTCTAAGTGCAGTAAACAGCATGCAGTATGTCCTCATAGGGTTATTTTGAAAAACACTCTTTTTTAAGCCATCATCAGCTGGGGACATCAAATCCTTCATAGCATGTTTGAAAACTGAGGTCCTTATCTCAACAGCCAAGCATCTCATTCAGTGTGTGAAGAATTCCTCATCTCTATCTTGTTTAACTGTTTCTCCTAAATTTTGGTCTTACATGATAACCTCCCTTGGACAGACAGTGAGCATGGAAAATAAAGTGTGAGTTTTTCAGCTTTGCTAAATAAATTAGCAAATGACAGATTTATTGTGAGATGATTGAAACAATAACTGAAATGTTTTCTTAGATCTTCAGACTTTACAGACTGACTGCAGAGCCATCAATTCATATTACTATCCTCCTTAAATACGAGAAGGATGAAAACCACCTTTAGTGTGTACCATGTGCTGGGCAGTGTTCTTTGCTTTGCACACAGATTCATTAAAACCTCACAACCATCCTCATTTGCAAAGAGGAAACCAAGGCCCTGCGAAGTCAGTTCCAAGGTCACACAGCCAGTAAGGGCCCAAACTAGGGTTCCGACCCAGGGTTCCGACTCAGTCTGTGAATGAAGAGACTGCAGCAGGAAAATCATCATAACCAGAAACAGCCAGGACAAGCAATTTTATATACTATTATTAAGGAACTGTTGTCTCCTAAAGTTGTTTAAAATTTTTGTTTTACATCATTTTTAAAATGTGAAAATATTAAGTTCTTCCTATGGAGAAACCAGCATGAATGTTCAATATTCAACAAGATATCTCTACAGTAGGGGGCAGGATTCCTTGCTTTTGGCAACCTCAAAACAAAACAAAAAAAAGAGTAAGGAAGATACGGATTTGGGGGATATACTGTTAAGTGGGAAAAATGTAAGAGTACATGTACCATGGCACCTCTTGTAAGACCGAAGGGGGAGTAAAACACACACCTATTTACTTTTTGCAAAAAGAAACACAGGAAGGATAAAAGCAGAAACTGAGATTGGCTCCCTATGGGAGATGAATGGGAACAGGGTTTTTGATATACAGACTTGGAAATATATGAAGATATTTGTAAATGTGTGTATGTGTGGGTATGTGTATGTTTCCTAGTTCTGTCTGCTAAAAGGGCATAGAAGCAAAGCCAACACAGGACCAATGAGCATGGCATATTCAGATCTTGATTTTTAAATATTATCCCTCAACTAAAAGAAACTGGTGCTCCTTGTAAAAATGGCCGCTATTAGGGCTGGAGTGTGGGAAGAACAAGACAAGGCTGATCCAGCATAATATGTCATAAAATATATATTCAGAAATGATGAAGGTCATGTCAGAAAGGACCCAGAATCTGCTTATATTAGATCCCACTACCCAAATATGGGAAAATTTGAATCTCAAAATAAATAACAGATTAGCATCCATGCTGATATAAACACATTACTTGAGTAAATAAATGAGAAGGGAAATCTCTCTTCTGGTAGAACGCTAATAAGTAAATGGAGAAGGAATGATTAAGACTGAAAATCACAATCACAGTAATGATTGATTCAAGCAAGAATCACCAATGGACACTAAAAATAACTGGGGGAAAGTTAAATGAAACTAGATGTTTATACAGTCTCAAAGTATCTCCCTCCAAATTACATGTTAACTACAAAGTGAAAAATATTAACTTTACAGGGCTAGAAACCTGGTAGATACCAGCTTAACCAAGTGATCAAAATGAGCATCACCAGGAATGGGACAACCTGACATCACACGCCTCCTGATACAATACACTGGGAAGGAAACATCACTTACGTGCTATTTATACCCTAAACGGGTAATGTGAAGCTAACTGTGAGAACCATCCGAAAAACCCAAGCTGAGAGACAGCCTACCAATAACTGCTTTGTACCCGTCAAAAGGGCCCAGGCCCTCTGCTCTCTCCCACGGGAGGGCGTGACAAAAGGACGGCCACCTGCAGACTGGGAAATGGCCCTCAGCAGATGTCCCGTTCACTGGCACCCTAATCTTGGACTTCCCAGCCTCTGCAACTGTGAGAAATGAATTGTCATTGTTTAAGTAAAAAAGAAAAAAAAAAAGTCTCAAGGCCATAGAAGACAAAAGCTGAGGACTGCCCAAGGTTAATGCAAGAAGTACCCTGCACCAGGGGGAAAAACCTGCCAGAAAGAATAGGAATGAGACAATGAGGGAAATGAAGTACAGCCTGAGGGTTGGTGTATTGTGTACTCATGGCAAATTTCCTAATTTTGATAGCTGTATTCTGATTATACCTGAGAAAGCCTTCATTCCTAGGAAACAGGAACTCAAGTATTTGGGACATGATGTATGCAACTTACTCCCATGTGTTTCAGAAAAATGTACACATGTGGACAAAAGTGTGTGTATGACAGCACAAATGAATTACAAAGGAACTGACGCACAAGTGTTAACAGCCAACAAATACGAGTAAAGGAAAAGAGTTCTTTGTAACTGTCCTACTTTTCTGAAAGTTTAAAGTTAGATCAAAATAACGTTACCAAGAAAAGAGTGAGTAAGACTCACCTTTCATCATTATTCAGTATACTTAGCACAGGATCCACAGACAGTATGCCGTATAACTCAAGAACATCGTTTACTTTGAAACAATCCCAGTCTTCATAGACCTAAGAAGACCACATGAAATCAAACCGTTAGGGACTAAAAAATACTAAAAAGCATAAAATATTAGTGTTGAAGTTAAAGTGATAATAAAAATAGTATCTTAGAACTGCCTATCAGGAAATGGACCTTTATTTCATAACTGGGACTAAGAGAGGTTAGTAAAGTATGTGCCGAAGTCATTCTGCTAACTAGAAGTAAGTTAATAAAACACAGGACTCCTGATGCCCAGACCAATTTGTTTTCAAAATACCACACTACTTCAAAGAAAACATTTGTCCTAAAGGATGAAGGTCAACTAAAACTAGAAACATGCATTATCTCAAAATCTGTTAACTATACTAAGGGGGGAAAAAACAGGACTACTAATTTTGGATTTATTCACAAAGTTTACAACATCAGGATTAACAGAAAACTTAGAGCGGCCACGAGGTTCTTCGAGGTTCTTCACAATAAAAAAAAAAAACTTTCGAAGTTGTCTGTCACAATGGACCTCAGTACTTAAAGCCTCCTGGTTGGTAAGACCTAACAGAAGTATGGCAGGAAGAATATTGTAATTCTGGCCCCCAAGTCACATAATTCAAGTGCCATTTAATTTAAAGCCACAATAAATAAGAATGGAAATTCACACTGATCATTCTGGCAACTTGAATCACTTAACTGTTTATCAGGATTAAAATGCCAGGATAAGCAAGAGAGGAGACCAAACTATTCATGGTTTTCCTATTTAATTTTAAATACAAATGAGAAATGGATTTTGATAAGAGAAGGAAAAATGGTGAAAATGAAGTAGATATTAAGAAGGTAGAAATGATGTAGGAAAGCAGACATGAATTTAAAAATTGCTCCACCTCTGTGTTTCAAATATTCTTTAATTCTTTAAGAATGCCGTGGTAGGCAGAAAACGCCTTCTAAAGATGTCTACATGCCAGTCCCCAAAATCTGTAAATGTTACCTTACAAGCAAAAGGGACTCGAATCAGTTAAGGACCTTGGTATGGGGAGTATTCTGCATCACCTGGGCAGGCCCAGTCTAACCGCACAGGTCCTTAAAATTGGAGACTCCTTCCTACCTATGGTCAGAGGGAGATGTGACTATGAAAGAACGGCCAGGGAGATGCCCTGTGGCTGGTTTGAAGATGCAGGAAGGGGCCACAAGCCATGGACTGTGGGCACTTCCAGAAAGAATGCAGCCCTGCCCACGCCCTGGGTTCACCCCCAGGGAGGTTCCTGTTGGGCTTGGGACCTAAAGCCTGTAAGGTGATACATTTTTGTTTTAAGCCATTAAGTTTGTGGTGATTGTTACACCAGCAACAGAAAACTAATACAAATTCTAAGAGTTTTCCATTTAATTTCTGGTACACACAACACTTCTGTATCAACGTCAGGGCTAATTACCTTCACAAGGCATGCAGGGCCCTTCTCCCCTGGCAATGGGAAGTTCAAGTCAAATGGAGAAGAGAGGTTCAGGGAGCTCAGCTGTTGCCCCGTGGAAGCTTCAGTTTCTAACCGTTTTGGCTCTCCACACCACTGAAGACCAACACTCCCTAAATACAAAGGATAGCACTGCACTGAGTCATTTCCGTAGAGATAAAGAACTTTTCTAAAGAGCCTTTCAAGTTTGATATAAATGATACTTCTGACCTCACAAACTTCAGATTGTTACTTTTTTTTAAAGAAATAATATATACTAACAAAGCCCTCTGACCTAAAACAAGAACAAATATTTAGAAAATCTGAAAAATTTACACCTTTCTTCCCCCTATGATAAAATGGCAACAAGTTCCTCCCATCAACTCTCAAGTGTAAGTACTTTAAAAAGTTAGTACTTAATATGGTTACTTTGACATTTTTGACCTGAGGAATATGTGGCCTACTGACAACAAAACTACCTTGGTAGAACCATCTTTTTTCTACTCATTAAGCAGAATAAATTGGCATATGGCAATCAATTCATTTACCAAATATTCATTAACATCCACTGTATACCAGGAATCAGACTAGTTGGGGATACAAATATGATTAAAAGATACCCTCTATCCCCAAAGTAGTCACAATTTAGGTCTGATAACTAATTAAAATCAATGTATAGCCTGCCATATCATAGAATATTGTTCAGCAATAAAAAGAAATAAACTACTTAAATACACAAAACAACTTGGAATTTTGCTGAATGAAAAAAGCCAATCCATAATGTTTATGTACTTTATGACTCCACTCATCTAACATTCTTGAAATGATAAAATTATAGATACAGAGAATTGATGAGTATCTGCCAGGGTTAGGGACTTGGGGAGAAGGGAGAGACAAGAGGAGGTGCACATAGAAGGGCAGCATGAGAGATCTAGGCGGTGGATATTGTTCTCTATCTTGAGTGTGGTAGTAGTTACATGAATCTATGCATGTGCTGAAATTGCACAGAACTAAATACACACACACACAAATAATACATGTGAAAAATATGAATTCTGAATAAGTTCAATGGATTATACCAACATCCACTGTTATGATATTCTACAACAGTTACACAAGACGTTACCATCAGGGGAAACGGGGTTAGGGGTATCCAGGATTTCCCCATATCATTTCTTACAATTACATGTGAATCTACACGTACACAAAGAAGTTACAAATATATATAGCTTGAATGATTGCCTAGAAACAAACAAGTCAGACTTTACATATATGATGCATTCAAATGTATAAAAAGCCCTGCGGTGTGACATTCAAACAGAGGGGCCAGAAACTGAGAGGAGCAACAGTTGTTTAAGTGATAAGAAAGAATTACCACAGATCCTGGGTTCTAACATGTCACTCACTGTCATTACATACCGTTAATTTTAATAAACATTGGGGGGTTCAGAGAGAAAATAAGGGTATTATCACATTTGTATATATTTACTGTCAGACACTCCAATTTAAAAACATTAACATATGCCTCAGCATTAAGGAAATACAATATGAACTTATAAAATAGAATTGCGCACAGTTGAAGAAACTAAACAGAAACTCTTTGTTGTATTTGCCCTCTTTGTACAATTTATTTCTAGTTTTATACCTTTGTGGTCTGAGAAGGTGGTTGGTAGAATTTCAGTCTTTTGGAATTTACTGAGGCTCTTTTTGTGGCCTAGTATGTGGTCTATTCTGGAGAATGTTCCATGTGCACTTGAGAAGAATGTGTATCCTGCTGCTTTTGGGTGTAGAGTTCTGTAGATGTCTGTTAGGTCCATCTGTTCTAGGGTGTTGTTCAGTGCCTCTGTGTCCTTACTTATTTTCTGTCTGGTGGATCTGTCCTTTGGAGCGAGTGGTGTGTTGAAGTCTCCTAGAACAAATGTATTGCATTCTATTTCCTCCTTTAGTTCTGTTAGTATTTGTTTCACATACATAGGTGCTCCTGTATTGGGTGCATATATATTTATAATGGTTATATCCTCTTGTTGGAATGCTC